GCCTCAACTTTTCCGTTCAGGTGCATGGTGCTATTAGGTCATCCATTCAAACGTGCCGCTGGTTTTTCTTGAATAAACAAAGAGGAGAATAGATAGAAAAGTGATATTTCAGCTTTAGGATGAGTAAATCCCTCCTTCACCAATGACCCGCTCCCAGTGCCCCGAGGGCCTTTGGACCTCTGGTACCTTCGATTTTTCAATAAGTGTGGGTAAATTGCTGTTGTTGCCAATTTCGGCAAATGACAAAACATTGTAGCGTCTGCCGTTGGAGAGTAGCTCCTCAAAGCTGAGGTAGAACCGTTGTAATCAAAGCATGGCTTTATGCACGGGCGGAATAGGGCGATTGAAACCCAGGTCTCAGTATTTTGTGTCCCAGCACTGATCTACAATACAGTTACTCGGGGTCTGGTACTATGACGAGCAACGGTGGCCTTCTTGTAGTTGTGTGGTAGCATCCATTTGTCGATCTGAATGCCGAGGAACAGGCAATATGCACCGACAGTGACGGATTTGTCCTCTGTATAGAGCCGCTTGAAAGCCACAGTGTGGGAATCCTTTGCTATGATGATCATCCACTTGCGCCCACGTAACTCTTCATGTACGAAGTGAGCGGGCTTCTACTGTATTCATAAAAAAATTGACGATTGTGAGTTTCGGCTCGAGGTCCGAGACCACCCATATTTCATCTAAGGCCTGGGTGCGTTTTCACAGTTGTGAGTGACATCTCATGCTGAGAACATTAGTACTGTCTAGAGTATAATCGGCTTACTGTGCGTTTCTGTGCTTTATAAGATAGGTCCCATGCGCCCCCTTCTGACCATCGCTCAGTTGTATCGGAACATAGCTGGGCAGCAGTTTGCAGCTGGGAATGTCAGACTCGAGCTGGACAAGCGCTCGACAGGGTCCAGGCTATGTGGATTCAGATGCTCGCAATGCCGTGATCATAAACGGCCTTTTTTTCTTGTGCAGGATGAATATTATGGACCATCCACGACAAATTTTTTCCTTTCTTCCTTGTACGGGCTCCTGAACCAAATCTTCCACCGTGTATTTCGAGAACACCCTTACACACAACTATGGTCCGGCGCAGGTCAAATTTGAGCAGCGCACTTTCCTCTTATGACGTCTGATTTGAAAAACCGGCGCCGATTTTCACCACTCGGGCTTCTTTTCAATTTCTCGAGAACTTCTTCTGGGCTAGGTTCGCCAAATTTCACAGATACACAGCTTAAGGTACTAGCTTCCAAATGGTATAGTAGCCCGCTGCTCTATCCCCTTTGCTTTTCTGCCATTCCTCTATATGTAGCGGCACGTTTTTTGAATGGGATGACCTAATAAAAAGGATCAAGCACCCCTCCACTAAATGTTTCGTTACTGCAAGTCGTAAAGAATTGGATCGGAAAACAATGAGTGGTTCTAATTCTTGGCCAATTGCTCTTGTAACCTCGGCATGCGTGGAATATTACAGTTGTTTTCTGCAAACGAGTTATTAGATGATAACGTTTATTGGCGACTAATGTTTTCGACCTGCTCGTTATTTTCAGAGGCCTGGAATGGCTCGAAGCTTCAATTTGTCACCTACCCCGATCAAGGCGTCTTCTCACTTTCATGCCGTTTAAGAACGTCGTGTCCCGAACGCCCCCGAAGGTTCACGGGTTCGTCTTTTCTTAGTTCTAGTGAACGAATGGTTCGTGCACTAGTAAGTAAGAAAAGACGAATCCGTGAAAAAGCCTGTAGGAAGCAGTGCCCATAGGAACATCGTAAGGGCAGGCGTAACATGTACGTTTGGCGCGTATCACGCCATTTTCCAAATGGCTGCCGCGACAAACTACAACTTGGTGGCTAACAGGCCGCCGCAGCGCCAGCGTACATCGCTGAAGACGCGCCTCCACCCTACGCTGTAAAGGTACGGCCGCGCGATGAGGATCGAAAGATGAAAATAGTATAGAAGATGAAAATATGGGGCCGGAGGTAGTGTGGTCCGCGACGAACAACCTTGTACCGGTTTCGCGGCAAAAAAATTGTAAGAAAGGGGCGCTATAGCGCAATATAACGTTCAGTGACGCCTCCTTCTTTCCAGCGACTCCGCTCCACACCTTCCGTCTCCAGGTCTTTTCAGTGAAAATTGCAAGCTGGCATGAGCATGAAAATGTCCTTTTAGTCGCCTCGTATAAGTTCTTAAGCCGACAATTTAACTTGTGCGGATGAGGGCGTACTGTTGAAGATGGTTAGGCAAGTACAAGCTGCAATCTGAATGGGGTTCTATTTAAGCCAGTTGGCCTATTTTCTTTCTGTTTTTTTTCTTCACTATCGAGTTACTCCGTACCTTGTCGTCTATATGCAAGCCCCTAATCCACAATCTGTGACGGCGAGTGATCGCGAGATTCGCCAACAAAATTATGTCATCAATCAGTTTTAGATTTGGTGTTCAAAACATTGATAATCTATTACAGGCAGTGCGACCTTTAATATCCTATGTGTTCTGGCATTTTGTACACTGTTTTCTCGAGAAGTACTTCATCTCACTTGGTGGCCATTGTTCAGGTGAGGTTACACTGGCAGAGGGTCTCATCTCATCGTCAGAAAGACTGTACCATCTTTCACAATGTACATTGCGATTCCTTTCAGAGACATGGCCTTCTATATAATTGCGTTGTTTTTTCTGGTGATTTTCTTCTTTGACGAAAAAATTTCATGGAACGAAGCGCTCACCATGTTTCTTGTTTATATTATATATGGAATATTTATGAAATACAATAGTCAACTGGAGCGAAAAGTGAAGAGCTTTCTCAAAGGCGGCAGCCCTGAAACATCAACACAGATGAGCGTAAGTCTTTACGGTGCTAGCCACTTCTACTGGAACTGTTTGTTGAGGAAATTTTGCCCACTCTGGCTAAATATGTCAATGTTAATAGTGATGGGCAACAATATGAAAAAGAGCAAATCTGAAAAAATGACAAAATTGTGGTGTAAAAAAACTACAAAACAAAAAATGCAGTGAAGATGCATCACATCTCTCAGATTAGCTACAAAGTGGAACGATGACCTTTTTTCGTAAGTCATGTATTCGTTTTTCAAATTACGATTCTCGTTAATGGAGCAAGCGTTGGGCTGTGCCAATGGGTGGGACAGGCTGAGACGGTGGGTGAGACTGATGCGCGCATCCCCTTTGATATGTGCATAGACGGAGAAGCTGGCACTTGGGCAAATATTCTGGACTTATAGAACTGATAACTTTTTCTTATTCGAACAGGTTTTGTATTGGTGGAATACTTTTATTTTACGGCTGACTTTTTGACAATCTCGTTGTTTTCAAAGGCCTGAAAGAATACCGAAACTCGTTGAATACTATCTATCCTATTCAACACGGGCCCGCCGCTCAATAGTTCCAATCAAACCGAAGGACTACAGGCGAAAAGGAAACTCCAGCAATAAGTTACCTCTTCAATTCCACCAGCGCCGAAGGTTCGCTCAACTCTCGTCACACAATGGAGCAAATGAGACTCACTGCTGTGCACTGCCATAGCGTGATAAAGTTGATAAGTGCTCAACGTAAGTGCACTACCGTTCTCACTGTTAAAGCCCGCAAAGTGTAATGTAAGGCAATAAATCGGCAGTTATTGAGATGCATTCATTCCTGGTAGTCATAGATGGATTACGGTGCTTTATACAGGAAGGCTCGAGAGTTTTTCAAGCCGCAACATCATTTTTGTGGCCTACAGTATCGTACCATTTAATATCACGAATCATAGCCCGCCGTCACTTTCGCTTCCTATGCTTGGCCGCAGCGGTGGAGCTAAATCTTTCCGGCGCCCTTTTGCTAGCCAGGTGTTCTTTTACGCGTATATTCAATTGCCTCCCAGTTTCATCGAAATATAATAAGCCACAGGTCAAACATTCGTGCGATCGCGTGGAGTACTGTATATACAACCATGTATATGACCATGGAATACGACCATGGATTTCTGTATGCGATACTTCTTCTTCTTCAGCGTTTGTCCCGCACTGCAGCAGGGTCCGCTCGCCTTATTTTGTCACGCCACTTCTCCCGATTAATGCTTGATCGGGATGGGTGCCAACCACCTTCAAGTCCGCATGCAACGTGTCTGACCACAGCCGCTGGCTTGGCGTCCCTCTAGGCCCGCTTTTCGGGGAACGTCGAGCTCAAAGACCAATCTTACGGACTAGTGTCCGGGCAATTTCGCGTCGAAGAGCATACCGTAACCAAATCCGAAGCGA